GGCATTGAAGGATTATATGTCAAAATAATAAGAGCTGTCTATGAGAAACCCACAGCCAACATTGTACTGAATGGACAAAAGCTAGAAGCATTCCTTTTGAGAACTGAAACAAAGCAAGGCTGTTCACTTTCACCACTCTTATTCTGCATAGTATTGGAAGTCCTAGCCAGAGCGTCAAGCAAGAGAAAGAAATAAAAGGCACCCAAATAGGAAGAGAGGAAGTTAAACTATCCCTGTTTCCAGATGACATGTTTCTGTACCTAGAAAATCCCATAGTCTTTGCCTATGGCTCCTAGATCTGATAAGGAATTTCAGCAAACATTTAAGACAAATTGATGTACAAAAATCAGTAGCATTGGCCGGGCACGGTGGCTCAAGCCTGTAATCCCAGCACTTTGGGAGGCCGAGACGGGTGGATCACGAGGTCAGGAGATAGAGACCATTCTGGCTAACATGGTGAAACCCCATCTCTACTAAAAAATACAAAAAACTAGCTGGGCGAGGTGGCGGGCACCTGTAGTCCCAGCTACGTGGGAGACTGAGGCAGGAGAATGGCATAAACCTGGGAGGCGGAGCTTGCAGTGAGCTGAGATCCGGCCACTGCACCCAGCCCGGGTGACAGAGCAAGACTCTGTCTCAAAAAAAAAAAAAAAAAAAAAGAAGAAAAAATTCAGTAGCATTTCTACATATCAATAACATCAAAGCTGAGAGCCACATCAAGAACTCATTCCCAGTCAAAATAGTTACAAAAAGAATAAAATACCTACTATTACAGTTAATTGTGCAGGTGAACGATCTCTATAATGAGAATTACAAAGCACTGCTGAAAGAAACCAGAGAGGACACAAACGGGAAAATATTTCATGCTCATGGATAGGAAGAATCAATTTTGTTAAAATGACCTGCCCAAAGCAATTCAGAGATTCAACATTATTCCTATCAAACCACCAACATCATTCTTCTCAGAATTAGGGAAACTATTTGAAAATTAATATAAAACAAACAAAAAAGAATGCAAAGAGCCAAAGCAATCCTAAACAAAAACAACAAAACCAGAGGCATCACATCACCTGATTTCAAACTATATTACAAGGCTACAGTAACCAAAGCAGCATGTTACTAGTACAAATAGACCAATGGAACAGGTTAGAGAAACCAGAAACAAAGCCACACACCTACAACCATCTGATCTTTGACAAAGTCAAAAATAAAAAGGAGTGGGCAAAATAATCCTTATTCAATACACAATGCTGGGATAACTGGCTAACCATACCCAGCAGATTGAAACTGGACCCCTTCCTTTCATCATACACAAAAATCAATTCAAAATAAATTAAACACCTAAACATGATACTATAACTAAAACTATAAAAATCCTAGAATAAAACCTAGGAAATACCATTCTGGACATAGGCCTTGGGAAATATTTCATGATGAAATCTCCAAAAGCCATTGCAACAAAAACAAAAATATACAAGTAGTACCTAATTAAACTAAAGACCTTCAGCACAGCAAAAGAAGCTATCAATAGAGTGACTAGATAACATACAGAATGGGAGCAAATACTTCCAAACTGTGGACCTGACAAATGTCTAATATCCAGAATCTATAAGCAGCTTAAATCAACATGGAAAACACATAACTCCATTAAAAATGGGCAAAGGACATAAAGATATCATTCTCAAAAGAAGACATATACGTGGCCAACAAGCATATAGAATAATGTTCAACATTATTAATCATTAGAGAAATGCAAATCAAAACCTCAATGAGATATCATCTCATACCAGTCAGAATGACTATTACTAAAAAAATCAAAAAATTACAGATGCTGGCGAGATTGCAGAGAAAATGGAACATTTATACACTGTTGGTGGGGATGTAAATTAGTGCAGCCACTGTGGAAAGAAGTTTGGATATTTCTCACAGAACTTAAAACAGAGCTATCCATTGACCCAGCAATCCTATTACTGTATACCCAAAGGAGTATAAATCATTCTAACAAAAAGACACATACACTTGTATGTTCATTGCAGCACTATTTACAATAGCAAAGACATGAAATAAACCAAGGTGCCCTTCAACAGTGGACTGGTTAAAGAAAATGTGGTACATACATCCCATGGAGTACTGTGTAGCCATAAAAAGAACAAAATCATGTCCTTTGCAGCTACATGGATGTGACTTGAGGTCATTATCCTAGGTGAATTCATGCATGAACAGAAAACCAAAACCATCTCTTCTCACATACAAGTGGGAGAATACACATGGATACACTTTGAATACACATGGATACAAAGATAGGAGCAGCAGACACTCAGGCCTACTTGAAGGGGCATTATGGGAAGAGTATGGGGTTCAAAAAACTACCTATTTGTTACTATGCTGTATTAATTCATTTTCACATTGCTGTAAAGAAATAATCGTTCTGCAGGCTGTACAGGAACCATGATGCTGGCATCGGATTGGCTTCTGGGAAGGCCTCAGGAAACTTACAATCATTGTGGAAGGTGAAGATGGAGAAGGCACATCAGATGTCCACAGCAGGACTAATAGAGACAGAGGTAGGCAGTGCCATACATTTTTAAACAACTAGACTTCGTGAGAACTCACTCATTATCATGAGAACAGCATCAAGAGGATGGTTCTAAACTATGTGTGAGAAATCTGTCCCTGTGATCCAGTCACCTCCCACCAAGTTCCACCTTCGATAATGGGGATTATATTTCAACATGAGATTTGGGCAGGAAATATATGCTCACTACCAGGGTGATGAAATAATTTGTTCCCCAAACCCCAGTGACAGCAATTTACTCATGTAAGAAACCTGCACATGTACCACCTGAAATTAAAATAAAAGTTCAGAAAAGAAAAAGTAACCAAAGAATTCAAAAACAGTTTGATTTTTACCTTTATTTTAGGCCAAAATTCAAGTATTTTTGCTGTTTCAATAAGGGAAAATGTTGAGTTCAAAAACAATCATGTTGAACAAAAAGAAGTTAAAGAGTTTTTAACCCAAAGTCAAAACAAAAACAAAAACAGGGCTTAGCTTAGGCCTTTTTAGGCTTAGAGCTGCAGGAGTGGTCCTACATTTTTCTTATGGCACCTGCCTTGTGAGGGAGGGAAAAATATAAATATGCCTTTTCCATTAGAACCAAAAATCAGTAGCTCTTTTAATTAATGCTGAAGAAAGGAAGGGGAAAATAAAGTGCAAAGGAGTCACAGGCCTTTTGGGAGGCTCATATTTTCTTGTTCCTTGTCCTTTCTATGTTACACCATTGGGTTTCTAAGTAAGGCCTATGGTCAAAAGAATGTATCCTTTGCTGCTTCTGAGGTAAGAATCAGTGAGAGTTTTCTTTCATTAGGCAGCTTCCCTAAGCCTCGCCTTTATATTTATGTATTCATTGTATATATTTGAAACTAAAATATCAAAACATTAAAATTATTATTTCATGTTGAAATAGGAACTTCTTATATGAATCAGAAAAGTTATCATTTAAATTGACTGAAGACCATGCTTTAATCTAAACCACTAAATATCCTAATAATTTTCCATTGGAAATCATGCTAAGTTGCGCTATCCCAACATTGTTCTAAAAGCAATCTATTTAGTGGACCAGGACACATGTATTATTAGTCTCTTATTGTACCTGTAGACATTTTTGAAAAATCTGAATCCCGAGTACTTACATTATCTCCTTTTTAAAATGGCTCCTTCTTTCTGACTCTGTCTCTTCTTGATAGTTCCTCAGTACAGCTTTGTACAAAGAGAAAAAACTCTAGATAACAATATGCTTTGCTACCATGTGGTTTCTGGATGAGTTTCCCTGGTGAGCTAAGTTAGACTACATAGTATCTATATCTATCTATATCTATATCTATATCTATATCTATATCTATATCTATATCTATATCTCTCTCTCTCTTTCTCTCTTTCTCTTTCTCTCTTCCTCTTTCCCTCTCTCTCTCCCCTCTCTCTTTTTTCTCTTTTGATCTACAAGTAAATCTAAACTTAGTATGAGAGCGCCAAAATTAGCACCAAGGAATTTCTTACTATATCCTACCTCTGGTATCAAGGGAAGAGTATGAGAAGGTCTGAAAGAATTATTTTCTGGTATCTAAATAATAAGTGCTCTAGTCTGTCTATCCTAGGCTTTGTTTTGTTTTGTTTTGTTTTGTTTTGTTTTTGGTTTTGTTTTTTTTTGCAACTGGAAATCCTAGAAGGATTTAATTTCTAACATCTCTTAACATGTAATTTTTTGGAAGACAGTTAAAACCTCAAGAAGGAAAGAGAAAGAGAAGTTGTGCCCCTAGCATAATTTGCCCTATCCCCCAAAATTCTGTGAATCAGATATCTCAGATATTGAATATCACTTTCTGTTGGTGAGGGTTGAGTGCTGGGCAAATAAAAGAAGTAAAGAGAAATCTGGAGATTTTCCTAAATGTCAATATCTATCAGTTTACCTGGATCACATTTGTTCATACATTTTGTGGTGAGTTCTAATAGTTAATCTGATGTCACTTTGTGAAGTTAAAGCAATGTGTGAGTGTTTGAGAATGACAGTGGTGGAGAAAGCAAAGGCAGCAATGGTAATGTTAAATGATGCCAATTTGACTGTCAGGCCATATTTGTAGTGGTTGGGTGCTGCACTAACGATAGAGATTAGTCTTGAATGTCAACTGGACCACATATTATCTATGTTAGTCTGAAGAATTAATTATCTGTGTCTTAGAGGATTTGTATGAATATTAAGTGAATTAATACACACAAATTATAATAGAACTTGACACATTTTAGGACTAAGTTCGTTAATTGTTGTATTAGTAATATTCATTATTATAGAAAATAATTCCTAGCTTAAATCTTCCTCTGTAAAACTTGTCTAATTGCTCAATTGCCCCCAATATTTATCTTTCTAAGAATGCTGTTGGTATTTAGTGAATGTACTATTCATTTGGAACTCCTTGTTTTGTGTTATAAGTTTTGCATCACCATTTCCTGGCCTACTTTCCCCACAGCACATAATCTATCTTATACTTTGATGATGATGATGATGATGCTACTGATGAGAACCTATGGCCGAAATAAACAACAGATTCTAAAGCCAAGTGTGAAAGTCATATTTTGATGTGGCGAAACATGTGGACAATGGCTTGGCGGATTTCCTTTGTCTTGGCACTATAAATGAGAGGGTTGATCACGGGAGGCACAAATAGGTACACATTTGACATGAGGACATGTATGTAGTGTGGGACATGCTTCCCAAAGTGGTGCACTGTGGAGACCCCAGTCATTGGCACATAAAACGCAAGTACAGCCAGGATATGTGACACACATGTGTTGAGAGCTTTGAGAGATTCCTCACGGGAAGCAATGGCCATGACAGAATGCAGAATGAGCACATAGGAGAGGAAGATAAAAAACAGGTCCATGCCAAAGGTGGATACAAGAACAAAGAGTCCATAGATGCTGTTGATAGTGATATCAGCACAGGCAAGCCTCATCACGTCTGGGTGCAGGCAGTAGGAGTGAGAAAGAACATTGGATCTGCAGATAGGCAGCCTCTTAATAAGAAAGGGAAGAGGGAAGAGGGTGATGAAGCTTCGAGCAGCTGCACCTAAACCCATTGCAGCAATGACTTCAGTGGTGAGCACAGTGGCATAGTGCAAGGGGTCACAAATGGCCACATAGCGGTCAAAACTCATGGCCAGCAGAATACCTGATTCCATCATGGAGAAGAAGTGAATAAGAAACATCTGAATTAGACAGGCATCAAAAGCGATGTTGCGGGCATTGAGGCAGAAGGTTCGTAGTACAGTGGGCAGTGTGGCCATAGATATAGCCACATCACTGAAGGACAACATGGATAGGAAGTAGTACATGGGCTCATGGAGGCTGGGCTGCACTCGCACAGCCTGCAGGATCACTGTATTTCCCCCAAGGGCCACAGCGTACATCACACAGAGGGGCCCCACCAGCCAGGAGTGAGAGCTCTCCAGACCAGGGATACCAGTCAGGAGGAAGAATGCAGGGTGAGTGACATTGAACGACCCCATAGCAGAACAAACTTAGGGTGCTTTTCAGGGTCAGATCTTCTGACTTGGAGAATTCTAACAGTTGCACTTGCTGGAGGATAAGAAATCAGGAAATAAGAGACAAAGCGATGATGTCGACATAAATGGAAACTGATGCATTCATGAAATCACTGCTTTTGAGATGATGCAGGCAAACTTTTCTTCATATTTTATGATGATCAGGCTGCAGGCTGAGCTAATATTTCCCTCTGTTTTATGAAGAAGGGAGACATTGACAAATACTTCAATAATAGAAATTAGTTAAAAGGAAAATGTTTAAACTACATTTCTACAACTTTCATGTATTTCGGAGACATCATTCAATAGAAATATGCTAACTACAACTCACACCACCAGAGAAGAAAGCACGAGTTTGTGTTATCAATAGCACTTGGAAATATTTAAATATTTTCTTAAAAACGTTGCTTAATTCACATGTGTCCCTAATTAATGAGAGAAATTCACAGAGCAGGTTTGTATCATGTCATGTGCTTGGATGGAGAGGGAAAAGGACAGTAGGGTGTGGAGGTCATTGACTGCCTCTGGGCATCAGCTTTTCATTGGCAGAGTTACTGCAAAAAAGCAACAACAGAAACAACATGTATTTGTGCAAAGGCACAAGGCTGTATCTGTTTCTGGAAAAATTATGCATTTGTCCCTAAATATTCTATAGGTACACTAGCATTCTGTGTGTGAGAGCATTGTTCCAAATACAAACTTACATGCCCTCACATGGTTAGATGTACTCTCAAAATACCCGTTAGTCACAAGGCCACATTAATGTACCTTCACAACAGCTAGTAAAAAAGTTCATTCATACTCTAACAAGATGCTCATTCACATACTCTCTCCATATCTCATAAAGTCACTCTTGTTATGCAAATATATTCACACAGTCCCTCTTGATCTTTATACCATTTAACATGCACATCTTGTCCTCATACTCTCAGTCTGCACTGACATATATGCAGCCTTTATGCATACATACACACTCATAGACACATAGATTTGTATACTCACACAATCCTTCTATCTACATGCTTGGGGACTGCCCACTGATATCAATCCACTAATCCACACAGGCACTTTTTAAACCCTTAATGTCTTGTATTTATTCACCATTTTTCTTATGCTTGCACTCACATATTATTTCCTACAGCCATTTCTCTGTCACAGTGATTGTATTGTTTATTCTGTTTTTGACACACTTGTGTGTGTCAAAGCTTCAGTATTTCCAATGGCCTTATATTTACTAAATATAATATAGTAATATAGTAATAATATTTAAGAAGACTGAGAATTCACCATGCAATCTCAGAGGGAAAATGGAAGTGACTTCCTAAGATTCTCATTTTATGTTAAGCCATTTAACAATCTGGTCCTAACATCCACTCATGGCAGATGAGGATACAGAAGGCTAGGCTTTTCACTAAGCAGACTTTTCAAGCTAATAGGGTGCATGAGGTATCTAAAAGTAATAGAGGTTGTGGAATGGGGTGCAATGCCGCATTGTCACCCCAGGAAGCATTTTAAAAATTTCCCCAGCAATACATAACTCACAGGTACTATGGTTTCCAGCAAGGCAGTGGCGGCCCCTCCATGTTTATACTGAGTTTGTCCCTTCTGGTCTTAGAATGCAGTCTGCACATGCCTGTGTCTCCTCAAGAACTCTGATTCCTTGGGATCCAGGACTGATGTTTGTCTCTTATTTCTCCTGTTTGACTACACTCTCATTCTTCACATAAAGTCTTGTAGAAAGACATCACAATACATAGAAGAGAACCAAGCCAATGTAAAAGTAACAGAAAGAGAAGGGAGAAGAAAACAGGCTGAAAGCAGGATTTTGTTCAGGGCAAAGTCAAAGCCATTCTGGGTCTGGGTACTTATGTTTTAGTATTTGTAGAAGAAAGACTGCCTGACTGTTCCAGAATTACATCAATTCCCATACCTTGGGGATTGCTAACTTTGTGGGTTGTCTGGACAGATAGGAATAAAGTAATACTGAGAAAGAAAATGAATACTTATTGAACACACATGATGTGCCAAGTACTCTGCAAAGAACTTTACATTTATTTTCTCATTTAATACTTAACAGATATGGACACTGAAACCCAGTGAGATGAACTTTCCTCACAGTTTGTGGAGATCAGGTGATAAAACCTCAATTTAAAGACTTTTAAGACTCTCTTCTCTCTCTCTCTCTTTTTCTTTTCTTTTTTTTTTTCACTTTAATTTCTGGGATACATGTGCAGAGCATGCAGGTCACGTCCTTTGCAGGGACATGGATGAGGCTGGAAGCCATCATCCTCAACAAATTAACACAGGAACAGAAAACCAGACACCGCAGGCTCTCACTCACAAGTGGGAGTTGAACAGTGACTCTCTTCTCTCTTACCAAGGTCTTTGAAGCATCATTAAGGCCTTGGAGAGGAAGTTTAAAAGGAAAATAGAGGAATGCATTTCTGAACAAAGATTTCATAGGTACCCTTAAACAAAGAAAGTGAGTGGCTAAAGGCAGATACATAGGAAAAAATTATACTAAAGTACCTGTCTCCAAGGCCGAACACAAATTCTCCTATTCCTGGAACCGAGAAGCTTGACATTTCTGAAGTCATATAAGAATCAGGCAGTTTAGAAGAAAGGACCCTGAGGGTGTCAGGAGTCCTGACCCTGGCTCTGGAAGGTACTGGCTATATGAGTGTAGAAAATTCCATTTCTTTTTCTAGACCTATGTATTTTATTTATTTATTTATTTATTTATTTATTTATTTTATTTATTTACTTGAGACTGAGTCTTGCTCCATCGTCTAGGGTGGAGTGCAGTGGTACAATCTTGGCTCACTGCAACCTCTGCCTTCCAGGTTCAGGCGATTCCCGTGCCCCAGCCTCCTGAGTAGCTGGGATTACAGGCGCCTGCCACCATGCCTGGGTAATTTTTGTATTTTTAGTAGAGACAAGGTTTCACCATGTTGGCCAGACTGGTCTCAAACTACTGACCTCAGGTGATCTGCCCACCTCAGTCTCCCAAAAGTGCTGGGATTATAGGCATGAGTCACCGTGCCTGGTGTATGTCTTCTTTTTAAGGACATTCTCTGAGACCCTTTATGGCTGTGATGTTCTTTTACTTTATTTTACTTTTTAATCAAGAAAAGACTGCCTGTGAGAGTTTGCTATGGTGCTGTTATGGGGGCAAAAAGAAGGTAGAGAGATACTAGAGGAATGTACAGAAAGGCTGTCTAAAGACCATAGTTTTCAATCTATATCATGGATAATAAAGAATGAAAATTGTTAGCTGTTCATTGTTCATCTAAAGTTTAGCTGATTTCTCCTTTTAATATCCTGGAGACTGTTACATATTTTGTTATCACTGAATTCATAAGGGAAGAGTAAAATTAAACCACATGTGCTTCAGCTGTTTGTCATGGGTTAGGTTGTGACCACTTCCCTTCTAGATTCCTGAACTGTTCCTGTATCCTGAGGCCTGCTTCCCTCTCTGAATTTGCAGCAGTGTTAATGAGCCACAGAAACTTTGCCCTTTGAAACTTGGAGTCACAGAGAAATTGACTATGGCAAGTAAGAACTCTAGAGAAGTACAATGAATTGCTTGGGGTTATAAAATCAGTACATGGCAGTGCCAGAACAAGAACCCCGAGTCCAGAGATCTTTCCTGCTCCTTTGCTCATTCTACTAAGATGCTTCTATCAGATACCCTCCACCAGTCTCTTCCACTTCCCCTCACCATACCCCTTGCCCAGTCTAATGCTTTCATGGAGCAGGCTTCAGGAGAATCAGCTGGCTTATTCCTACAGGGTTTCAGAACTCACCAGAAGAGAGACTGATGAGCCACCCACAGAACAAGTTCTTCCCTCTCTCTGCTGAAGTGAATTCATGCCTGCCACTTTTATGTCTCATGATAGGCCCTGGGATAGAGGGCAGTGATGCTGACTTTGTGTCTGAAAATTCTTCAGGGAGGTTTTAGTCTCCTGAGGTCCGTAATAACTACTGAGAATAAAGCATGTGCTCTTTTAGCTGAAAAAGAACTTAGCAATCTGTCAGACCAATTCTCTAGAACTTAGCAATCTGTCAGACCAATTCTCTACCCCACTCAAAACATCTTCTAGTGATAGACAGGCAATCGCTATAAGAGAGGAGCTCATTACCTCCTAAGAGATTCTAGGTTTATGTGATATGATGACCAAGCCCATCAATTGAGGTGCAATCAGAAACTGACTAGTTTTTCTCTTCTTGTCTCTTTAAATATATTGAGTGGGGCTGGTTCTCCTTTTATATTCCTGTACAAAAACTCTGTTCTTTAAATTTTCTGGTCACATTCAGATAATAAAATACCTTCTGGTGAATAACTAGAATGTTTAGTCTGGAATAATAGTCAAACTTTCCAGCATTCAGAGCTGTATCCTTTCTTCTTCTTTCATCCTTCATGTGCTAACTCTGATTTCTGGCTTCTCCTCCCAGAAAGAGAGAGATGGAGGAATGGAAAGTTCACAATTAATTAGTGCTGCAGTTAGTTGTTATCATGTTAACTGGGTCTCTTACATGTATAAAGCTGACTCTTATATTTACTTTCATAGGTTATTCTTAGAAGCTTCTTATTTTTCACTTGTTCTCCACTTGGTTTAAGCTAAAATATTCTGTGTGGTTGCTTGTAACTCCTTCTACAACCTCTTGTGGAACCGTGCAGTCTTTTGGATAGGACATAAGACAACATCATGCCAGCTCTCTCTAACTTGTACCCCATTCAAGAAATGATCAGGCTTTTACAACAAATGCCCTACTTCACTGCAACAATAGTCTTTCCGTCAATGTTGCTATCAGAACAGAAAGGTACATTTATCAATGTTAGTTTATTCATTTAGATTAATATCTACTAGGTGTGGATCATATTAAGTGATTCTGTTGGCTTCACACGGGTCAGTCACAATCTAACCTAGGAACAAAAATTAGGGTTCAGTTATGGTCTAGTCAGAATATAAGAAACACACCAGTTCTTTTAATTAAGAAAAATTAATGAATTGTTAAACAAATATTGGCGAATGCACAAGACAAAAAGGGAATATGAAGGTATCATTATAGGCAGCAACTTCAGGACATA